CCCCCGTAATCCGGTACTGGGTGTTGGAAACAGGGCACCAGGAACTACACTCCTCAGTACAGGAGCACTGGTCAGTACCACGTCACCGTTCCCAGTCTCCGGGCCTGCACACACACAAGAGAGTGCGCAGAGGCAGATCGCTCCCACAAAGGGGAAGAGAGGTGCGCCAGAAGGAAGGGCACCCTCGCTCCCGGACGCTGGAGCAGTGCCGATGTGGACCCAGTTCTCACAGGGAGAGTAGGAACTACACTCCTCAGTACAGGAGCACTGGTCAGTACCACGTCACCGTTCCCAGTCTCCGGGCCTGCACACACACAAGAGAGTGCGCAGAGGCAGATCGCTCCCACAAAGGGGAAGAGAGGTGCGCCAGAAGGAAGGGCACCCTCGCTCCCGGACGCTGGAGCAGTGCCGATGTGGACCCAGTTCTCACAGGGAGAGTAGTCCTGACTCCCTGCACCTGCCTATGGAGGTCTGTCTGCCGCTGATGCCAGAGACACTCCTGGTGCCACAGGAGCTAACTGAGCTCATTGCATCCCCGGAACCGGCACCGTGGGGGTGCAGAGGTCCAAATTAGCTGGGAAAGGCAGGGCGTTCAGTCCACTCCCATGCCACCCGTCCTGGTGCTATATGCTTTGGCACCACCTGCCACAGCACCTCTGACCCAGGCACCGCCTGCCCCAGCACTGCCAGTACTGGCACCACTTGCACCGGTGCCATCTGTCCAGGCGGGGTGGCTGGCACCATCCACTGCGGGGCGAGAGCACACGTGGGACAGATCCTATGTGGCCCCGGGTACTGTGCCCACCAGCACCGGAATTTGAGGCCATGCTGCCACTGGCACCGCCAAGGCACTGTGGCAAAGCCGTCAGCCATGACTCGTCACATTCAATGGGAGAACCAAGAACGGGCGACGGCACCAGCTTGGTCGGCCTCAGATTATTCCTCTGCCTCTGAGGTGGACTCCCTCTCTTCTTGGACCTCCTCTAGATGCTCTGGCAGGTTGCTTAGGTCAAGCCTTCAGTACTGATCTAGGTCCTGGCACCATTCGAGCTCCTGGCACTCGTCCAAAGCACATCACCCTCCAGAGGGGCAGACCTGGCCACCCCAGTGGCAGCCACCTCTGCAGTGGCCCTTCTGGACTCCATGGGTGTATCACCAGGTCCCAGGGACAGGACTCAACGAGGTCGGGGTCAGTTAGTGCTTCCTCTCACTGAAGGCGCAGAATGGCCCCCTTGGTCACCCTGTTGGTTAGAGACTCAGAGTTGGAGAGTAGAGCCACCCCACCCTGGAGGCGGATGGAGCAGTGGCTCCCCAACAGCAGCGTCCCCAGCCTCCTGTGCCAGCCCAGCCCCGCAGGCCTCAGGGGACGTGCCTCCGCAGGAGCAGCAGGAGACAAGGGAACCCTCCTCGCCACCGGATGAAGCCCTGGCGGATCCAGCCCCTGCCATGCCAGCTATGTGCACAAGGTCTCATCAAGATCTCAGGAAGATGGTCCAAAATCTAGGGGTACAGGCTAAGGAGGTGAAAGAGGACCACCACCCAGTGGTGGACATCATTACAGCGGATGGCCCCACTAAATTGCCCTCCCGTTGAACAAGACAGTGGTGAAAATTACCAAAACGCTTTGGCAGACACCAGGGTCCATACCACCGACACAGAAAGGGGTCGAAAGACGGTGGTACGTCCCCCCAGCAGGCCATGAACATTTATTCTCCCACCCACCGCCGGGCTCGGCAGTGGTGCAGGTGGCCTGCCAGAGGGAGAGGCAGGGGCAGATGGGCCCCACACCCAAGAGCCAAAAAAGCTCGATTTGCTGGGCAGAAAAGCATACGCGACGGCCAGTCTACAATTGAGGACAGCCAACCAACAGGTTATGCTCAGCACGTAGGCCTATAACTCCTGGGTGGCAGCTGACAAGTTCAAGGCCTGATTGTCTCTGGACTCCCAACAGGCCAGATCAGTCCTTCAGACCACTCTTGACATGGCTGACTCGGCTGCGCAGGCTATGGCTACTGGCATAGTCATGCTCCGGAGTTCCTGGCTCCAGGTTTCCAGCATTCCCCCGGAAGTGCAGACGACTCTGCAGGACTTACCCTTTGAAGGGATGAGCCTCTTCTTGAAGCAGACGGACAGTAGGCTACATAGCCTAAAGGTTTCTAGAGTGACCCTAAAATCCTTGGGTCTGCATACCCCGGCCCCACAACGATGCCCTCTGATGTCTCAAGGGCAGAGGGGATACAATCAAGGGGCCAGATTTGATAGCAGATGTAGGTCCTGGGGCAGTAGCAACAGGAACATGAGAAGGCGTTCTCATTCGAGTTTGGACCACAACCAGGGCCCACTGCATAAGCCCCAGAGCCCTAGGTTGAGAGTTTGATGGTATGCCTGAGGATGACACACCAGCCCCTATCGTAGATCGACCCTTTTCGGACAGACTATTCCCTTTCCACCATGCCTGGAGAGCCATCACGTCAGACCGTTGGGTCCTCAAGGTGGTGGCAGGGGGATACTCTATCCCATTCTTGTCCCTCCCTTCCTCCTGCCACCCTTCCCCATCCCTCTTCAGGGACCCCTCTCATGAGTACTTCCTCCAGCAGGAGGTCTCTACACTCCTATCTCTGGGGGCAGTGGAAGAGGTCCCCTTAGACCTCAGGGGGAAGGGTTTTTATTCCCATTACTTCCTTATGCCAATGTCCAAGGGAGGTCTTTGCCCCGTACTGGACCTCAGAGGGCTCAATGCCTTCATAAGGATATCAAAGTTCAGGATTGTGATGTTGGCCTCCATTATCCTGTCACTCAATCTAGGAGACTGGTATGCCACCTTCAGGATGCATACTTCCACATTTCCATTTCCCCTCAGCACAGGAGATTCCTGAGGTTTGTTGTAGGGAAGGACCACTACCAGTTTGTGGTGCTTCTGTTTGGCCTATCCATTGCACTCAGGGTATTTACGAAGTTCATGGCAGTGGTACAGGTCTTTTTAAGAAAGAAGGGGATTCGCATTTACTCCATCTAGACAACTGGCTCATCAGGGGTCAGTCGCAAGAGCAGGTCCAACAGTTCATAGCTCTAGCCAGGCAGACCTTTGTGCGACTAGGACTCTGGCTGAACGAGGCAAAGTCGACGAGGTCATCAGGTCATTGAGTTTGTGGGGGCAAGGCTAGACGCCACGACAGGGAGAGCTTACCTCCCGAGCCCCAGGTTCCAGTCCATAAAGGGGATCATCCACCGCTTGCGGGCTGCCCCTATTACGATGGCAAGACAGTGCCTAAAAGGAATGGGCCATATGGCAGCATGTACATACGTGGTATGGCACAGCAAACTACGGCTATGGCCCCTGCAGTCCTGGCTGGCCAGGGTCTACAAGTCAGCCCATGACCACATAGACACAGTGGTTACCATCCCCCCAGCTGTCCTGTTGGTGCTGGACTGGTGGATGAGGGAGTGAGAGGTGTGCAGTGGAGTTCCGTTCGCCCAATCCCTCCCCACGATACAGCTGGGAACGGACACCTTGGACGCTGGTTGGGGAGCCCACCTGGAAGAGCTACGGACACAAGGTACATGGTCTGAGGCGGAGAGGAAACTGCATATCCATGTCAGAGAATTGAGAGCAGTTCGGCTCGCTTTCCGAGCATTCCTTCCCTGCCTGAAGGCAGCTGTGTTTCCATCCAGATGGACAACAGAGCCACCAGGTACTATATCAACAGACAGAGTGGTGCTTGCTCCTCTCCCCTATGCAAGGAGGCGATAGCCCTTTGGGAGCTCTGCATTGCACACGATATCCATGTGCAAGCGACCTACCTTCCGGGA